TAAAATGTACCAATAAAATAAAATTTAAAAAAAATCTATTTTACTTGATAATGGACCTAAAGTCATCATTATTTAAGTATCATCTCATCATAAGAAGAAAGGTAAGTAAAGTACAATAAGATATTTTGAGAGAGATCACAGTCACATAGCTATTAGAATATGTTGCTATAATTGTTCTATTTTACAATTATTGTTAGTCATCTCTTATAGTGCTTGATTTATAACCCAGTCTTTATCATAGGTATGTATGTACAGGAAAAACATAGAATATACAGTGTTTGGCACTAATTATGGTTTCAAACACCCATTCGAGTCTTGAAATGTACCCCTGCAGATTGAGTATATGTCATCTTGCTTCCTTTTGAAATCATCCTAGGTCCTTAGACAGCAGTAATTGCTTCCTCCATCCAACTCCCCAGCATTTGATCAATATCATAATACTTTGTGTCACTAGTGTTTGTTACTGTGGTATCATCTGAACTTTTTCAAGATAGGAAAAAGTTCCTTTTGGTGATTGCAGTACCCACCATAGTTTGCCAGCAAGGTAGAACTGGTTATTCTTTAGCCCCAGTGTTCACCTGTTATTCTGGGATTTTCCGTCACCAGCATCCTTTGAAAATACTTTACCATGCACAGTTTGGATGCCATGGTTCTCTCTTTTGGTGTATTCCTTTGCTTTGCTGAATTACCTCCTCAAGTACGATGCATGTGTAGTAACTGTGTTGAGACTTTACATATTCCATGTTTTTCTTTGTGACACTTGAGTGCTAAGATGGCTAGATAATTCTAAGGCAGTAATCATTTTTGTTTGGAAATATAGGAACATTGTTTCATCGTGTTGTAAATTCTAATGTTACGATTAAGAACACTAAAACTATTTTTCTTGAAACTTGTTTATTAGCATCTTCTTAAATTTTGAAAATGTTTAAACTCTTTTCTTTCAAGCCAGTATTTTAAAATTTGATAATGGTGCATTTTGATGTGTCATTCTTTTAAAGAACTAACCCTGTTTTTCTTTTATAAGTGAAGAACATCACCTTATGTCCTAACGATCAGGAGCTCTTAGTTCCTGAGAATGTTTTCTGGTGCTGTAGATAATCAAATCTAGGGCCTTGTACACATCAGACAAGCATTTTGTACTGCACCACACCTCAGGCCCATCTGAGATTTAAAAAAAAATACAAAATGTATTGATGCGTAATATGCAAACAAGAAACTGCATCATTTAAAATATACCTTTCAATAAATTTTGGCAGATGTATTAAAATCTCCATAACAATAACATTTTCATTGCTATCGATTGTTTCTTTGACTCCTTTGTCGTCCATTCCTCCACCTAGGCAAGTGCTTCTCTGCTTTCTGTCACTTGGTTATTTTGCATCAAATCTAGATTGGCATGAGCTATAGGTCCTCTAGCTTTATTATCTATTAAAAACTATTTTAGTTAGGACATTCACATTCCAGTATACATTTTTAAACTAGCTGGTCATTTTGTACCACACTCACACACACCGGGCCTTCTGGAATTTTGGGAAAATTAAGTTGAATATACAGATTAATCAGGAAAAAAATGGACATTGTAACAATATTGAATCTTCATGGATATATGGATATGACATAGCTCTACATTTGGTCCTTAAATTTTCTCAGTCATGTTTTATAGTTTTTAACTGCACAGATTTTATCAAAGTTATATGTAAATATTTTATGATTTTGGATGCTATTGGAAATGGAGTTGTACTTTTTATTTCATTTTTTCCATTCTTCATTGCTAGTGTATAGAAATGCTATTCTATTTTTGTATATTGACCTTTCACAGGCCTTGCCAAATTTATTCCCTATAGGAGCTTTTTCTCTTGGATTCCTTGTGATTTTCCAGCACATAATTGTATAGTCTGCAAATAAAGTTTTACTTCTTCCCTTCAACTCTGTATGCTTTTTATCTCCTCTTCCTCTTTCTCTCCTCATCCTCCTCCTCTGGCCTTACTGTATTGCCTAAGACCTCCAGAATAATATTAATCCAGTAGTAGTAGTAGTAGTAGTAGTAGTAGCAGTAGTAGTAGTAAGTGGGAATCTGTGTTATTTTCAGTCTTACAAAAGAAACATTTAGCTCTGTGGCAACTGGTGGCGCAGGTGGCCAGCATGGACATGCGCAGCAGCAGCCCTGGTGCCCGCGGCCCGGCAGGTAGATGAAGTTCCTGATGGAGCTGTAAAGCCGCCCACAAACAAACTGCCCATCTTCTTTTTTGGGACTCATGAGACTGCTTTTTTAGGACCAAAGGATATATTTCCTTACTCAGAAAATAAGGAAAAGTATGGTAAACCAAATAAACGAAAAGGTTTTAATGAAGGCTTATGAGAGATAGACAGCAATCTGAAAGTGAAATTTTCAAGCCAACAGGCATCAACTAAACAGTCAAATGCATCATCTGATGTTGAAGTTGAAGAAAAAGAAACTAGTGTTTCAAAGGAAGACAGTGATCATGAAGAAAAAGCAAGCAGTGAGGATATGACTAAAGCAGTTGACATAACCACTCCAAATGCTACCAGAAGAGAGAGAAAGAGAAAGGCAGAAAAAATAGAAACTGGACCAGGGATTTTGCTCAGTGGTTTTGCCGCCTGCTGCGCATGTGCAAGGACCCGAGTTTGATCCCTGGTACGAAAAAAAAAGAAAAAAAAAGAAAAAGTAGAAACCGAGGAGGGAGGAGTAGTGACAACAGCAACAGCATCTGTTAATCTAAAAGTGAGTCCTAAGAGAGGACGACCTGCAGCTACAGCAGTCAAGATTCGGAAACCAAGAGGCAGACCTCAAATGGTAAAACAGCCTTGCCCTTCAGAGAGTGACATGGTTGCTGAAGAAGACAAAAGTAAGAAAAAAGGGCAAGAGGAAGAACAACCTAAAAAGCAGCCTACAAAGGATGAAGAGGGCCAGAAGGAAGGAGATAAACCAAGAAAAGAGCCAGACAAAAAAGAGGGCAAGAAAGAAGTTGAATCAAAAAGGAAAAATTTAGCTAAAACAGGGGTTACATCGACCTCTGATTCTGAAGAAGAGGGAGATGACCAAGAAGGTAAAAAGAAGAGAAAGGGTGGAAGAAACTTCCAGACTGCTCGTAGGAGGAATATGCTGAAAGGCCAGCATGAGAAGGAAGCTGCAGACCAAAAACACAAGCAAGAGGAACAAATGGAAACTGAGCAGTAGAATAAAGGTGAAGGAAAGAAGCCAGAAGTTAAGAAAGTGGAGAAGAAGCGAGAAACATCAATGGATTCTCAACTTCAAAGGATACATGCTGAAATTAAAAATTCACTCAAAATTGATAATCTTGATGTGAACAGATGCATTGAGGCCTTGGATGAACTTGCTTCACTTCAGGTCACAATGCAGCAAGCTCAGAAACACACAGAGATGATTACAACCCTGAAAAAAATACGACGATTCAAAGTTAGTCAAGTTATCATGGAAAAATCTACAATGTTGTACAACAAATTTAAGAACATGTTTTTGGTTGGTGAAGGAGATTCTGTCATCACACAAGTGTTGAATAAATCTCTTGCTGAACAAAGACAGCATGAGGAAGCAAATAAAACCAAAGATCAAGGGAAGAAAGGGCCAAACAAAAAGCTAGAAAAGGAACAAACAGGTTCAAAGACTCTAAATGGAGGTTCTGATGCTCAAGACAGTAATCAGCTGCAGCACAATGGAGACAGCAGTGAGGAAAGCAAAGACAACCATGAGGCTGGCAGCAACAAAAAGCCATCCAGTGAAGAGAGAGAGACTGAAGTATCTCTGAAGGAGTCTACAATGGATAACTACGTTGATACACAGTCCCTGGGTTACAAAGAACAACCGAGAAGTTTGTAATAGTTTTCATTTGAAATATTTAGACTGCTGAAAGTTTTAAATTTTTATTAGCATAGGTTTTGATGTTTAAAACTTGAGGGGAAAAAATCTCCCTTTATCTTTGTTTAAAAGTTATTAAAAATCATTGCTAATTGTACTTGTGCAGTATTAACAGCTATATTACCCAGTAAATGTGGGGCGAAGTCCACTTAGAAAATGTTAAACTTTTTCCAGACATGGTTGTAGCATATTTTCAGTTAGTGTGTGTATGTTATTAATGTATAATGGGTAGAACAAAGTTACATTTTTAAAACTTCTACTTGTATAAATATTTCCCCCCTTTTCTCAGATTCTGTGGGTTTTACAAATCTTGGATTTACCAGACTGTCTTTTCACTGTGGGTTTTGTAGAAGTTGAGCATTTTTATGGTTGATAAAGTGTTACTTCTATACAAGTACTCACTCCTTCCTTTTTATCAAAAGTTAGTTTTAATCTCACATTGTGCTACATTCTCCTGCTTCTCTGTAACACTGTGTGGCCTGACACCCTTTTGTATGATAACTAGATAGTCAGTGGACATTGAACTGGTAGTTCTATGTGCTCCAATCTGTCTCTTGTGCCTGGAGTTCAGCAATAGTGACTTTCCCCAATTTCTTGGCTAGGACTTCCTCGGGGGCGTCATGGTTATCATAAACTTTCTGGGCTATGTTCAGAAGTTTAGTTCTATTCTTTCCCTCAAATCCCTCCAATTTCTATAATTTCTTTCTAATGTCTGGGGCCGACTGGGAGACAAAGGCCAAGTTTAAAGCTGCTGCATTTTTGGGAGCCTCGAGGTCAAAAGGAGTGAAAACTCTATAGGCTTCCAAGAGTCTCTCCAAAAATGCAGCCAGAGACTCTGTTTTTCCCTGGTGAACCTCACTTACCTTACTCAAATTAGTGGGCTTTTAGGCAGCTGCCTGGAGTCCCCATAATAAGTGCTTGTGGTAGGTCCCCAGCCTCCTCTTACCATCATCATCATTGGGGTACCATTCAGGGTGCCACGACAGAACCACTGTTTCAGCCCTAGCTGAATACCCCATAGTTCTGGGAGTGACGCCAGGGTTTGGCCCCAGGGCATCTTTGACTGCCTGCTGATAAATATGGTCCTGCTCCTCGGTGGTGAACAGGATCTGTAAAAGCAGCTGGCAATCATCCCAGGTTGGCTGATGGGTATGAAAAACAGACTCAAGAAGAGATTAATGCCTGAGGTTTTTCAGAGAAGGGGGGGATTTTGATGTTTCCAATTGTAAAGATCACGAGTTGTAAAAGGGACCGAAATCAATCCTCCCTCGGGCTCTGTCTGTTTTAAAGGAAAAAGGGAGGAGGAAGACAGGGCTGATGGACCGTAGTCCTGTCCCGATCGAGTGCCAAAGGTTGATCAGGACCTGTGGGGCCCCGATGCCCGTGACCACATTCCAAACCTTTCCAGCAATGTGCACAGAATAAGTTCCCACCAGGGGCCAACTGACTCTGAAACTGGGCCATTTTAATTGACACAGGGTTCATAATTTGCCTTAGAAAATTTCATGCCATATTCATCTTCCCTGTCCGTGGAATAAATTTTTTTGAAGTTATTCAAAACACAATCAAGTGGAGTTCCTTCTGTGGACTGTGAGGAACCCATAATTTTAGCCTGTGAAAACACAAAAGGCACACAGAGCAAGCAGACAGACAACAACAAACAGACAAAGACAAACTTTGGCCAAGTAAAACCGCTGGGGCCGAATGGATTCGGACCCCACCCAGGGAGTCGCTCTTCTGAGGACTCTGACCCAGTGAGTCTGCTTGCCATCAGGAAGAGACGCTAGGTAGGGGAAACTGTGCCGCGTCCGGCTTCCTCCTACCTACCCATAGTGCACTAAGAATCATTCGATTCTTACCTCTAGAGGCTTTCCCGATAAACTCCTGTGGGTTGGTTGATCGGCAGTAGGGCCCGACTGGGACCAGCCTACCTGGAGCCCCGGAATACCATCAGGGTGGCCTAGCCCCAGAACACCGTCAGGGTGGCCTCTCCTTCCGCAGACCAGTGTCCAGAGGGGCCAAACACCAGCGATGTCTGATCCTGGTCTCTCCTAAAAAGAAACAAAGGCTCCAAGATAATAAGCTCCAGAGCAGCTGGCTATCTCGCTGGGGCCTCCAAGAATGTTACACCCAGTGAGAGAGAACCAACCAGAGACCGATATTAAACCCACACAGGAGTTTATTACCGGCCGGGACCCGAGCCGAGCATCAGACTCGAGCCCCGACTGGGGCGAGACAAACATGTTTTATACACCTTTGAGGCCAACAGTTTCTAGGCCCCGCTATGGGATAGAACTAGCAAAGCAAGCAAAAGGTACAGAAGCTGAACGTCTTGCCCTTAGAACATTTGTAAAACAATAGTTGATTAATTGTTGTTTCTAAAGAGACTTTCTAAGGGGAGGAGGTTTTTAAGTTTCCTCCTTCTGAGTTCATCTAAAGGGCAGGCAGGTGGGTCAAGCAGCAATATGGAGTCTGTCTTGCTAACTAGGGTCCTTCACTTTTAAGATCAGAGAGTATGCTTTGCAAGTTTTATTCTTTTAAAATACATTGAAACTCATTTAATGGCCTACCATATAGTTTATCTCTGTAAATGTTCCATCTGTATTTGAAAAGAATGTTTATCTTATAACAGTTGAAGGTAGAGGATTCCATGAACGTCAGTGTGGGTGGTTGATAATATCCAAACCTTTCATATCTTTTTTTCCCATTGAGGCCTGTAGTATTTTATTACAGTAAACAAAGACAAATACTTTTACAGTATTATTTTCCAAGTCGTATATCACGAATGGTCAAAGCAATTCAGAACTAGAACGTAACTCACAACAGGATGCTTTAAACAATTTATTTATTTAACTATAATGCCATGCACTGCCTTTCATTTATTTGGAGACATCTTTTTCCCATGGTGATTTAGAGGATCTTCAATCCAATATAAATATTTCATAAATATTTGCCCATATTTAGGTATACACCTGCACAATACCTTACACCTTTTGGCACAGAAAACTAAAGTGTGAAGACCTGACACAACTAACTAGGGAGAATGAGAATCTGCACCAAATACTTGTTTCTCTGCGGTAAGGGCACCACATACCTATCCAATTAAGAAAAGCACCCTTGCAATTCAGGATGCTTTTTAAATTTTTAAGCAAGGTCTAGAACACTTAGTCACTAATTAGGTGCTGAGTAGCAGAGCTACTCCCAAGCTTATGCCATGACAATAGGGAACAGTTTCCAGCCACTCAGGTCCCTTCTCACTGGTTCTCGCAAGGTGTGCGTCTCTGACCAAGACAGGCTGGCACTTCAGCTGAACCCAGGTACCATCTCTTTGGCTTCTTTCTTCTCATCATTTTCCTTGATGTGTTTTGGAAAGCTATCTCAACTCAGAGTGCTTATGCTCAATATGCACATTAATTTTCTTGGCAAGTATCTTGCCCTTCACTTGCTTGGTTTACAACAGTGCCGACAGCATGCTGAATGACACTGTAGACTCTTCCAGTTTTACTATGGTAACATTTGTGTAGCATCGCTTTTTGAACAGTACCCATTTTGTAGATTTGTGTATACGTGGACTAAGGAACAACCCCATGTTTTCTAAAAGCCCTAGATGACTTATACCAGGTTCCTCTCTTGTTTCCCTTTGTGTGTGTCATTTTGGTAAATTACTGGCAGATAGTGGTTCTGGCCGAAAGCCCAAATCTTACACATCTTCACTGATTTTTTTCTTACCTGAATGTTCTATCAATTAGTGAGAGAATTCTGTTAAAATATCCAATAGCAGTTATGGATATGTTTCCCCCCCATTAGTTCTGATATTTTTCTTCAAATACTTTAAAAATCTATTATTGTTCATACATACAGTTGTAATTGATTTAGCTTCCGGATTTATTCCTTTATTGTTGTGAAACATCTCTGTTTTCTAGAATAATCCTTGTCTTGATGTCTACATTTGTTAAGTTGTATGCTTCTACAATTACAGTATTACCAAATTTGCATCCAACATTTGGTCCCCATTGCTTTGTAGACTATGTTACGCAGGACTGAGGGAACATTATGCTCATAGGCACAGAGAGGGTAGCAAGAGTGTTGGGGTGGTTCAGGACCAATATAAACATGATGAGGCTGTGGCACCAGCAGGGAGGGAGAAGTGGGAGTTACCATGGATTTCACACTTTAATCGTAAAGTGTAAGGGGATGGAATACGGTCTTTCTAGTCTTTGGATCAGGGCCTGATTTCTGTCTTTGCTATTTATTAACTGTAGTCTTGGGCAAGTTATGTAACCTGTTTCATCATATGTAAAATAGGGACACGTAGTAGCACAAACTGCATGTATTTTTAGAAAGATGAAAATTTACATACGTATGTAAAGTACATACACACGTCTATACACTCATAGTGTTTAGCAAAGTGTTCAATAAATATATTATATAATAAGTATTATATTTTGTTATATCATACTTTTTTCACATAGTCTAGTCTCAACTTTCCTGTTGGTTTCAGTTTTGAGATTTAATTATCGTTCATATTTAATTCTCTTCCTCGTTTACCCCAGTTCGCTCTGACCCCCCTCCCTTTCTTAGTTCCCAGCTTTTGGGGCCCCATCCCTGCCAGAATTAGATTTAATAATCTCAAGAACTGGAGACTACACAATTAAGACGGTTTCTGCTTGCTCTACTGATTCTTTTGCCGCTCCCCATCAACCTCCAGAACACGACTAGGACTTTAATTTCCCCTCTGAAAAAAACTAGTTGCCAGGTTTCCAGTTATTTGCAGTGTGAATATAAATAACTGGCGTTCATGTACCTAGTTCATAAGTATATCCTGTATGTACTTGTGATGAAAGAACAACACTTTGTAGGAAAAAATGCCCCATAAATATTTCTAGCAAAAATCCTCAGGAGAGTTAAAATTTTAAGTCCATTAGAACAGGCATTTGAAAACCCAATCCAGCAACCCCCTTTCCACCTTGGGAAGCTTTCTCTTCAAAAGAATTCCCAACTAGATGGTGTTTGATGTTCCTGACCCCAAAGCATGATGTGAAAGATGATGGGTTTAGATACTGGTTAGCCTAGGCGCTTACTTTTTGAGTTACTTCTTAACCTTTGAGTTTTCTTGGTTTGTAAATTCTATGTGGTTATTATGCCCTCTCCATGGCTTCCTCTTTAGAGAATCCTTTCCTGAACCCACATCCACATGAATTTCCCTTACTATAGGCTTTCATATGTGTTGTCACAGTTTTCCCTTTTCACTTAAGTATGCGTTTATTCATCAGCACCAGCCTCCCTCACCGGACACCAGGCCAGGGACCAGAGCGTTCACTTTTGTCCCCCACATCCCCAACACAATACTGTACGTAGACCCAGGTCGAACACAGCACCTGGGACACAGCAGACAGTCAGCAAACAAATGAATGACAAGAGCGGCCGAAACTCCGTCCGGGCACGGAAGAAGATCCTCCAATTTGCAGCTTCCAGCCAAGCGAAAAGGAGCTCCTGGCCGCGCCCCTTAGTGACGTCACGCGGGCGGGACTTCCGGCCTCCGAAGTTTAACAGTGCAGGCGGGAGCCGGAAGCGCTGCGCGGAGTGGGCAGCGCCGTGGCCCCCTGTTGTCCCGCGGTCGAGAGGTGAGGTTCAGAGGGCCGGGGTCAGCGGGTCCCGGCCGGTCGCGCCCGAGCATCTCCTGACCCCTGACTCTGCGCTGCCTCGTTAGAGGGCGGCCCCGAGGTGCCTGGGCCCCGCGCGCCTTGCCGGCCCTGTCCCGGGGCTGTGGGGGGGGGGCGGCGCCCACGCGGTGCGGAAGTGCGGGCCGTCCGGGGCCCCCCGGGTCGCTCTCCTCCGCCGGCCTCGGCTCAGCTCCATCCCGGCCCCAGCCCCAGAGGTGCCCCGGGCCAGACCGCGTAGGTTGGCGGCGACTTTGGGAAGTGTGCTGCCCCGCAAGTTTGCATCTTTCCCTTAAGCCCGTCCTGCTTTTTGTAAACCTGGAATACGACTCCTTTGGCAGGCGCTCGAGCGCATTTTACGAGGTAACCCTCGTGCAGCGTTCTCCGGGAAGTAGAATGCCCTCTGGTGCAGCAAAGTTGGAGAACTTTTATTTCTGCTGGCTGTGGTGGTTGCATTGTCTGAGAAGCCGCTGTCTCTAAACCGGGCCCGCAGTGTGCTGACCCGTGTCCTGACAGCTCTCCTGGGATGGGAGCCCTCTTTGGGAGAAGAACGTCATCCCTCTCCTTTAGTTAGGTGGGCAGATGGTCGCCTCCCCGCTTCACGTTCAGCGAAGGAAACGTGAAAAGACTCTGCCAAAGTTGCTATCACCTAAGTCCGGCAGATGGTTTGGAATCCAGCTTTTCTGAACCTTGGCTTGGGTGATCCGTCCGCTGCACCACTTTGCCTAATGGGCACGGTGTTCCATCCGCTGCTGGCCTGAGAGTTCCCCTCTCCAGCCTGTCATTGTTTCTTGAGGAGGGAACCCAGAGGGCTCGCTTGGCCCTTGTTTTAAGTCATCAAGTCGAAACACTAAGCCTGCACTTCAACAGGTGACCTTAATGGCTTTTAGTAGCACTATGTTTAATAAAACAAGCATAATGAACCATTTGAGTGAGTTTTCTGGTTAAATGTTTTGGCCTTTTTATAAACATATTAAACAGTTGTCTCGAGAATGAAAGATTCTTATAATTTATCATCCCATTAACTCGCCCTCCGAATTAGAGTATATTAGACATAAATGTGATGCTTTGTTCGTGACTTGGCGCCTTTTCTGTGATACTGCTATTGCTGTGCAGTATTCTTGTACTATCCATGCTAGGAAGCTGTGGGGAATTATACTTCTAGGCCTTTTTGCCATGTAGTTTTGAGCATATTTTTTCTCACCTGTCATCTATACTACTTGTTACTCTTCAAAGTGTCTGCCTAGAGTGGTTTCCTTGCCTTCTGTTTTCTAGACTTCCTTGGTTTGTGAAATCATCATGTTAGAATTATATGTTTGAACTACATACCATGAATAAGGAAAAGTGAGGGTATCATAGACTAAGACTTGGCATCTTTGGCTGTACTGCTAATGCGTTATTTAAAAAACTTGTGAAGACAGGATTCAGACTTGCAGAAATGCTAGTTTACCATATATCTAAAGAAAGATTAGGAAGTTATTTGTTGAGTACCTACTTTGTGCTGGAATGTTTCAAGATGCTGGTATGAAGAGGGCGATGTTATAATGAGAACAAAGAAGAATTTCATATAGTAGTAAATGCCATAAAGACAAAATTGGGTACAGTGGACCCTCAAGTTACAACCGGCCTGACATATGAACAACTTGGGTTAATTAGGTTAATGGAAGATTCATCTGCCTCTTGTTATCTATAGCGTGTACCCAGGTAAACACCCAGATCTAAGCTGTATTGACTTACAATCAATTTGAGTTATAGCCAGCCCTCGGGAACTGATCGAGTTTGTAAGTCAAAGGTGCACTGTAATTGAACATTGGTTAGTCGGGTACAGGGCTGCTTTCAGAAGCAGGGAAGAGAGGTAAGAAAGTTACACAGGAGCCAGGTGGTATAAGGCAGGCTAAGGAGGTTGAATGTGATAATTACTGTGGGGAACTATTAGAAGTATCAACTCAGAGTATATGGTTTGGTCTGTGTTTTAGAAAGATCAGTCCAACTACTTTGTGGTGAATACATTGGAATAAAACAAAGGCAGAGCCACTTATTTGATATTGGATTCTTCAACTTTTGTTCTCTTTTCTTTTTTTGGATGTCCTTAATTGTTTTTAAGAAATGTTACTCTAAACGTTTTGTAGGTGCAGCCATGCAGGAAAACCTCAGATTTGCTTCATCAGGAGATGATATTAAAATATGGGATGCTTCATCTGTGACATTGGTGGATAAATTCAACCCACACACGTCACCACATGGAATCAGTTCAATGTGTTGGAGCAGCAACAGTATCCTTTTTTTTTAAGTAACCACTTTTTATTTGGCATCACAACTTGTAGCAGTGAAACTTTTGCATGTAACACATGAGAAATGTATTTTGTAAGGCTATGTATAAGGTGAAATAGTAATTTTGAAAAACAATACATGTGAATTTTGTTTTTGTGGTTGATTTAAATTTAACTGCAACCCACTTTATTGAAAAACACTGCTATTACAAAAAAAATGTATTTTAGTCTTTAGATCTAGACCATAAATTATTTGTGTTACCTACAATTTACTGTTGAACCAAATGGAATGTAGTAGGTTATGATGGGCAGGAAAACTTCCAAAAGTTTTGAAATGAGGTTTTGCATCTACATTTGAATATTTGAATCTTACCTAGAGACTAATACAAAGGAAGTTGGAAGCCAAGAGATTAAAAAAAAAAAATTTATCCTGCATCCCCATCTTACTGATGCTCTTTTTGTGTTTCTCTTTCTGTATGTAATGAAAGCATCATTTCCTGGACAGATATGGTGAAGTTGTGTACAATGAATTTCCCTAAGCTTTTCTGATACCCCCCTGGCCTGGTGAGCTCTTAAATGTGGATAAAATTAATGATGGAGTGAAGCCTGCTTGTCGGGTTTCTCAGCCTGACAGTATTGATGCTTTGGGTCCCATAATTCTTTGTTGCAGGGCTTTCCTGGTCTCTACTCACTAGTTGCCAGTAGTACCCAGTCTTAGGCTAATGAAAGCAGGCCTTTACCCAGTGTTCAGTTATCCAATTTGATCTTTTTTTCATGGCGGTTACTACAATATGAAACCAGAAATGTCCTCAGAATTGCCAGAATTACTTCCAGTTGAGAACCACTGCTGTATTTATATAGCACTACTAAGTCTTAGGACCCTATGAAAATGTTCTGTAAAATTGATGTGCTAGAAATTATTCTTTTGTGAAGCACATACACTAAGCAGAAATTAAGATCAATGTTAATGTTATAATATTATTAAAACTTATTAGTACTGAAATATTAACATTCTACTTCCTGATTAAAGAAAATATATAAAAAATTAAAGCTTTAAACCTTTTATGACCAGTATCTATTGCAAATACATAACAAAGATGACAAATTTTCTTCTTGAATTAAATTTATTCTTCATTACTCCTTGATCTTGTATTAAAGTAGTGAAATAATTTGTTGCTCTATTGATGAAACTTACAGGGAAGTGACTGCATTTTTGATGAACTCTTAAACATGGAGTAGGGAAAATATTTTGAAGATTGGCAATTCATGAAGTTGCTGCCCCCTATTTTTAAATTTTCATTATGCTTAGAACTTAATTTTTTTCTGTTACTTACCATGTAAGAGAAAGGAGCAATTCTTAATAAGATTTACTATTTTTTTATTTATTTTTGTACCAGAAACTGACATTTACTGGCATGCCACTTAATGGTCTGTCAGACAACTAATGCGGCTGTGACTTAGTGTTGTGTGACTCTTGTAAAGCACTCTAGTTCTGTATAGTTTTTGCCTGAGTGGATATGCACTGAAAGCCTGCACATAATCATATTCCTGAGGAGCTTTGATCGCTTCTATTGGTTAGTCAGTTACTGAAGAACAAAGAGGTCATAGACCCAGCGACTGGGGGGTCCTTGTAGCATAGATTCCAAGAATGAGACTAGGGTGATGCGCCAGGAAAGTTAATATTTTTATTTTGTTTTTGGTTTCTTTAGGTAGTGTTCCCATTTTTCTCATGTCTTTTAAAACTACAAGAGACCTTTAAAAAGTTCTTACTCTTTTGTGTTATCATGGTTTAGTCCTTCCTTTTCTGTGTTAAAGGAGAAAAGTAGTGGTGAAGAGGAAGAAGCCAAGGAAAGGGAAATGCTTTCCCCCCAGTTTTATACTACCTAGGTAAAAAGTATTTTGTTTGAATCATAAAATTGCAATCCATGGTCTACTCACAGAATATCTGAATGCTATACAAAGTACCCCAAAGTAATGCAGATAGGATTCAGTGCCGTTAGCCTTGCTCCATTCCTTCTGTACACTGACTTTGCTTGTTTAACAGCATAGCCTTAAACTTCTGATATTTGTTACGGCTTTCAAAATTACTCTTAAAAAGAACCTCAGATTCTTTTTTTTCATTATATTATAATCATTTTAATTTTAAAATACTTTGTCTTGTGTTTACTAACTCCATATAATTTCTGTAAATAAGTAAATGTACTTTAAATAAAATTAATTTTTAATTAGTTACATTTAATTTAAAATAAAGCAAAAATATAACTCTTCCCTGACATTTATTAGCTCACACTTATTTATATCGACTATAGTTACTGTTACATTTATTTCTAATACATGTAAGTTTGAAATACACTGTCACAAAAATTCCAGTCCTGAGAATATAAAGAGATTTCATTTCTTTTTTGAGGGGGAAAAATTGACTAGTCTGAGTATTTGCTTCTTTGCCTAAATTGTTAGCAAGCACTGGATTAATAAGTATCTTGAGCAGTTTTAGTAGATGGAAAGACTGTTTGATATTTGCTGATGCTACTTTCATCATGCTCTCATTCTTGATGGATAAAATTAGACTGACCTTCTGGCCTACCCTGAAAATGGAGTAGTATTTCACATGGGTTAAATAGCTTTCAAGGGGTAGCCCAGCCAGGAGGGATAGTTCTCCCTTGCAGTAGTAGTAAAGGGAATTAGTAATTAGTAACCTGAGCCATTTTTGAAAGCTAATGTATAAGATGTATTCATTTGCTTGTCTTCTCAGCATTTGCTTGTGTGATTGCATTTTTATAATGATAGTCTAGTGCTTGTAGATGTTCATGGATTGTTTGATGTTCCATAACTCTTCATTTAGATAACTTTCTAGTAACAGCATCTTCCAGTGGTGACAAAATAGTAGTTTCAAGTTGCAAATGTAAGCCTGTTCCACTTTTGGAGCTTGCTGAAGGGGTAAGTATTTTGTTTTTTTCCTTTAGAATCTTTGTTCTGCCTGGATGGCAATTGCTTATTTATTATGGTGCTTGCAATTAAAAATACAGGTGCTTGAAAGCATCATTCTTAATCTAAATTCAAAATGATACCGTAACAATTGAAGGTAAGGTACGTGTGCTTACTGAAACATCTTTAGATAAAATAATATGCATCCTAGGGGAGCAATTAAGGATTTGGATTTCATTAATTAGGTCCCTGCTTTTTCATTTCCTCTTTGTAGGTGGGAACCTGTTGATTCTTGACTTAGGACTATACCGTGCCTAGGTCAGTAGTTTAGTCTGACCATTGAATGCTGGTGGTGTAACTACCCTTAGTGACCCTGGACTCAGGACAATCAGCAGAAGACCCATGTCTGATGGTAGCCCTTGCTTCGGATTTTGTCCCTCTTGGACTCAGGGGCTGCCTGACCCTCCCTCAGTCCCTCCTTGATCGGGATGGCTTTGTCAAAATCCCACGGCACATAAATGAAGCTCTCACTGCATATTCTTTCCTTATCGTTTTGTTGTATAAGTTAATCCCTCTGATTGGGGATAATACTGGCTTCTTTATTTTTGTTCTCCTTGAAAACTTTTTCTTCTTAAAATAAGGTAAGGTCTGAATATAAAGTTACAAGTAGTTGGTAACTTGTTCTTTTTTTCAGTGGCAAAATTTGCATAGCAGACCTTAAATTATTATGAACTGTCATAGTTTTATATACTGGGGTAGGTAAGGTAGTCCACTTGGAAAGCAGCTTAATAATTGTATGTAAGCTCAGCTCATTTAAGAGGAATTATAATTTTTAAGAATTAAAAAATGTTTTTGACATACTTATGGGGTACAGTTTTGATATTTCAGTGCAGGTATACCATGTGTAATGATCAGGCTAATTGGCATGTCCTTTTCCTTAAAAATTTATTGTTCCTTTGCACTGGGGACATTCAAAACCATCTCCACTAGCTATTTTGAAATATATAAATTGTGTTCAGCCTAAGGTGCCCTGCTGTGTGCTATAGAACATTAAAAGTTATATTTTGTAGAGAACTTCTGATTTCATCAGTCTTCTCCTAAATTAAATATGTGGTGGGATGGGCATGAAACTTAGTTCCACCCCACAAGATAGAGGCTTGGGAGAGAATTCGGCAAAGGGCAGAAATGGAATTTGGGCACTCTGCCTACTCAAACAGAGCTAAATAAGATTGAGGCAGAGAACGATCCTGGTCAGTAAGCAAACTGCACTCTTCAAGAGTAGACAGAGCAACTTAAGTCTCTTTGGATCCTGTCAGAGGTGGTCAGCAACACTGGAATTTAATATCAGTGTCAAACAGTTTATTCTACCTTCACTACTGTACTTTACTACTACCTCATTTTTATGCATCTTGCCTTGCAATTAGTGAATCAGTATTTAGGACCTCTTTTTAATGTTTAAAATTAACATGATATTTGCAAGAGTGACATAATCATAAGGATTTTGTGACTATTACTAATTAGTTGTTATAACTCAGCCCTCTTTCCCACATTTAAGAAATCACATTGTAAGGCACATGGATAAACGTGAGATCATTATAGTTCTAATTTTGAAGCCCTCATTTATAAAAATATTTTGTAAACTTTGGTTCTTCAGCCTTTATTGGAAATTTCTAACATATTAATGTTACTTTTTTGGGGGTGAGATTCAAGTCCTGTAACTCATGAGCTGTTTGAGGAATTAGATCTTTTCTACTTGGGAAAATAAGATTCCATCTTATTATTTTAAAATTACAATGGAACCTTTAAGTCCATGTTTATAATTTTGTATTTTACCTCTTTAAAGTATAAAGATTGGTATTGACAATATTATAATAGATCTAATAGCCTACTATATAGCCTAGAAATTTGACTGACTTATTCTTAGATTTTTAAAAATTGTGCCCATTGTCTTATGTCAGTGATGGTGAACCTTTTAGAGCTTTCAGTGATAAAACAACCAGCTGCAGCATGTGTACCATGGGTGTACCATAGCCATGGGTTCAGCACCACTGTCTTATGCCTTGGGGGTACAGAATTCCTGTAGTTATTATTACACAGTTTCTGTTAATTATTTAAGTTCATTAGCTACATTAATAATGCATTCACATAATGTAAGCCAACTGTAAGTATAGATTTCATTTGGAGCCCTTAAGAATAATTAAAGTTGTGACAATTGGTGTTGCAATATAGCAGGTCTTTGGTAGACACCTGTTTCTTTAAATGTTATTTTGATAGTTCTTAGTAAACTGCCCTGATTTGCAGTGACAGTCAGATTCCAAATTTTACTAGTCTTTAGTTCAGTCAGTTTCTAGGATGATACCTATTAAAAAATTACAGCAACTGTGCTAAAACAGAGATAAAATGTGCATCCTGCTATTTTTATGTGTTAGTTGATACTGTTGGTCCAGAGCTGGAAGAAACCTCGGCTAGTCCAATTCCTCCTAGGAATATCTTGAGCAGATGATATTTTTACTCAGGGTAAGAACAGTAGATCTAATCTTCATCTCTCATTTCTCAGATGTGAAACATACACGCAGAAACCTTCACAGCTTGCCTTTTAACTTAGAACTAAGTCATGATCTTCATTTTTGCCCCCCCCATTTAATTATAGATGAGAACAATTACTGTTAACTCTATAGCACCTGCATTGGTTGGATAGGAAAATATGTGCAGCCTTGTGCTCTACACTGTAGCAGGCTTACTGATGTCACCACCAGACAGGTGACATTCATTGATACTTGTGCAAAGCACTTGTTAACCTCTGTATTTTTAGCCATTCGTTCCATAAATACTTATTGAATATGGATATGGTTCTTTTTGGTACCGGGGATGGAACTCAGGACCTTGTGCTTGCCAGGTAGGCATGGCGCCACTGAGCTAAATCCCCAGCCCAGATATGGTTCTGAATGAAACTGATATTCTGGTAGGAGAATAAACTACTGTATAAGCCAGAAATCCAGATATTGGTAATTTGTAATACAGAGAACTAAAACAAGATATTACCATAGCAGCTTACACTAGGAGGTTAAGGGAGGGTCCCTGAAGAGTTGATAGCTATTGACCAGAAGCCATCCAGCCAGGGTTGTGGAACTCAGCTTTTCAGACACAGCTGTGTAGAAGCCTTGAGGCACATTGGATTGTTATGGTTACAGAATGAAAGGTCTGTATGGCTGTATAGGGAAGCAGGAGTAGAGTCAGGGAAACGAGTGAGGACGATGCTGCCTTGGTTTGGCAAGGTTTGGATTAGCATTAGTAGTAGCTATACATAAAGGTATAAATATATGCGGGGTATATATTAGGATCAGAGTTTATACATTGCAGGGAGGAAGAGTAGGGAATCAGAGATTATTTAGGATTTTTATTTTGAGAAGCTGGATGAATGGTGTCCATACAAATGAGGATGAATGTGAGGTCAGGTTTGTTTGTTTATTCACATAGAACTGCAGACCAAATCCAGAGCTTCATGCATGCTGTGCAAATGTTCTGCCACTGAACGACATCCCTCTTAGTCCAGATGTCCGGTTTTGTTGGGCTAATTGAGACAGACTTCGGAGGGTGAGATTTACTGAGAGACTTAGGACGAGTATCTTGACTTGCTTAAAAAACTTTCTAAATCTATAACATGAAAGTTCTAAGCTAGGCATTCTTTAAAAGCCTCTCTTCTAGCATTTTCTAAGTTGGGCATTGATTTTAATTTAAGATATTCTGTGGAGATACAAGCGCAGGTTTAATAGAGGAGAAATATTATATTAAGTAGTAAGCTCTGTTGGGAGACCAAGACTTGCTGCTGTTTCCTAAGCTCCACCTATCACCACCCTTCAGTGGAAGAGAGCGCTGACCTGATTTCCTTGGGATCTTGTTTCATTAAAATCTTCGGGAACTGTTGAATCCACATAAAAGATGATGAGAGCTGGATCTTCAGAATTTTCCAGGTGTTATTGGAAGCCGTTGATGACTTATTTGCATGTCTTGACATGTTTATAGTATATAGTTCAGAGTATCGTATTTATCACGTGCTTACTGTTGGATGAGATGATAGTCATCGCTAGGTGTTCTATTAAGTGAACTTTTTTTTTTTTTTTGTAAAAAACAGCAAAAGCAGACATGTGTCGATTTAAATTCCACATCTATGTATTTGGTAAGCGGAGGCCTAAATAAGACTGTTAACATTTGGGATTTAAAATCAAAAAGAGTTCATCGGTCTCTTACGGTAAGCAATTTTCTTTTAAATCTTTAACAGAATGGATATTTTCCAGTGTATTTAGTTAACAAACTTCTTTTTCTGAGCTTTTCTGATAAAATTAAGATGCTTCAAAATTGAAGTGAGGTTAGGAGAAGTAAAGGTGCTGTTTAGCCAAAAAACACTTTTTGGTCTTTTTTTCCTCCTATACTGTATGTTTTTAATGCATATTGTCAGTGTTTGAAACTTTTTCCTGTTTTTTCACTGAGTTCTACTCGACTGTCTCCTTTATTTTCTTCTGAGCTATAGTTTGTTGTCATCAGGGATTTTTTTTTAAAGCACTTTGTGGAATGATAGTATTAAATCCAGCAATTAGAATTGGAGATTTAGCTTTTTGGTTCTGTAAAATATTCGGCTGCTGCTGTTTGTGTTATTTTGCATCTGTATTTTCAACTTGGTAATGAAAATATTTCCTAGAATAATTTACTACTTGGAATTAATGTTTAGTTAGCTTTTTGCAGTTTCAGAAAATAAAAACATTCGTCTCAAGAAAGTCTGTAGTTAGGACTTTTTCAGATTTGTACTTTTGACCATTTTGTCTTTTAATAGCTAGGGGTTGATCTTTTAGAAATTATTTTTATCTTCTGCAGTTTAAGAAGTTAATGTAAAAATTTTAAACATTCTGTGTTTGTACACACATGAACATGAACGTGCACACAGAGAAGGGGCTTCCTGTAACCTGGGCCTCGGGTACTCCTTATCCGGTGTCAGTGATGACTTCCCCCTGGCCAGTGTTGATTTACCTGTGTGCTCACCTACTTACACATTCTCCCACTTCCAGATCATTTTGTAGCAAGTTCCAGACATCATTGTAGTTATATGGCCTAATGTCATTGAGTTAATTCTTACTAGAGAAATGGTACATTGAACGTTGATTTCCTGTTAACCTGAATTGAAAAACAGTCTTATAATTGCTGTTTAAATATAACCCTTGGAAATTCATCATTTTAGGTATAAACTTTTGAGAATATTAATTCTAAGATCTCTGCTATGGAATAAATGAGTTTGAAAAGGTACTACTGGTCTCTGCAGTGTCAGACCAGCCTTCTAGCTTAAGAAAGAACAGGGCCGGGGATTTAGCTCAGTCGTTTCACTGCCTGCTGCGCAAGCACAAGGACCCAAGTTCAATCCCAGGACCAAAAAAAAAAAAAAGAAAGAAAGAAAGAACAAATAGGAGGAAAAACACTCAGGGACATTCCCTTTGAAATGAATTTCAATGGAGATCCATTTAATGGAGAGCTGCCAAGGTCCTACCCGTTTCTGATGCTGTGGAGGACATTGGACTTGTAGTGATGGGGTGAAAAAAAATGCTTGGTCCTTGTCTGTACTGAAAAACAAACATAGAACAAAAATATACATGGTTATGAAGAGTAAAGAGAAAGGTTGTCACTAATGGGAACAGCACCTTTTGTTGCATTCTTTGATGTGGCAGCCATTGTATTTCCAAAGGTTTACTTTGTTCATCTCAACAATGTTTTAGTCACTTGCCTCCTTGCTGGGACAGAATGACTGACACTCCCGAATTTAAAAGAGAGGAGGTTCCTTTTGGCCCATAACCCGTAGTTGGCGGCCCCAAGGTGGGAAGGTCTGGCCCAGGAGAGCTCAGGCCCGGCAGGCAGGCAGGTAGCACAGTGACAGGGAGCAGCCGGAAGGGGGAGGTGCCCTTCCAGGCCAGGGCCCCAGGCACCCTCCTCTTGCACCCAGACCTCACTGGTGCAGCCCCCATCATGCAAATCACCTTCCAAACACAGGCGGCTTTGGGGCCAGTTAGGTCCAAACCCTAAACGCTCTGCACAACAGGGAACTTTAGCCCAGTGTGCAGGTAGAGAAAGTAGTCAGAGATGTTCAAGAACTTGCTCTGGATCAAGTAGCTAACTAGCAAGGACAAACATTAGATGCAAGCACAGATGCTATTCATTATTCAGTCTTTTCCATTATGAACTATTTGAATAAAGCTGCCTAGGGAGGCATACCTACTTGGAATAAGGGGTAGTCTCTGGCCATTTTTATCCCATATTTTAAGAGCTTTACATACTCTGTCACCGCATTGCATCTTCTATGTGCTTTTCCTTCTTCACTTCTTCAGCTTTCCCGGTTATGCCATATATTTTTTTTTTCTCTTCTTATTGTTTGAAGTTCTCAGAGTGCTTTGTTGCCTTGTTCATTCAGTTAAGAAGTATTTGACGGACCAGTGATGATAGTGAGATATCTTAGCATTTGCCTTTGGATATTTTTTTTACAATCTTCTCCCTGCTGATATAACAATTTCTGGTTTGTGGCTTGTGCTTAGTAAATGTTCACTGAGTGAATCATCTTCCACAGTTGAGATTAGAAGACACCTGCCCCTTTATAAATCCTTAGAAATTATATTGGATCCCAAATTCTTAATTCCTCAAATGGGAACAGTGCACAAAATATTCATTATTCCTTTTTTCTTCTCACCAGACATCCTCTTCCTTAGGTATTTGTATCTTTGATTTAGGAAAGGAGTATCTCTGAAAATGCTTGAAGAACCATTTGAAAAAGTTGTACTATACATGGATGTCATAGCTTCTATTCTTGATATTACATTAATTATTAGGTACCAGGGTTTATCTTAAGATATGACATTAAACTGTTAAAAATTACTGCTAATCCTGATCACCTGTATGTTCCTGCTAGAAATCTGCTTTGATGTTGGGAAACAGTACTTTGAACTCAGTTTAAAACTCGATACTTTTATTTCCTCTGAGTGGGTTCCCACTGGATCTGAGAAGCAGTGTGGTATACTGGGAGAAGGTAGGCTTTGGGGTTTGACTTGGAATGCATCTTGGCTCTGTCACTTAGCAGTTATGTGAGGAGACACACAAGCTTCTTAACCTTTATGTACCCCATCTGTATGTGGGCAAAATGACCTTGTCTCTTGGGAATTTTAAAGGATTGAATATAAAGCTCCCTGTACTCATAGGTACTTAGTGTGTGTAGGCAGCTCCTGTATGATCAGTAGGTTTTTCCCGTGTTCCATTTTGCAATGTCCAATGTCTTTCTCCTTTTCCTGACTTATCTCTTAGCGTTTCTGTAAGACTGAACTCAAACTTCATTCCTTCCTCTGTCAAATCAGTTCACAGTGGTACCTCTCTTTTCTCTGATGCTTTTCTGTACCACTCATTTAGCATTTGCTCTGTCATTTTCATGTTAATTTAAATGTCTCGTCTTCTCAGGTGAACTGTGATACTCTCAAGGGCAGGCACCCTCCTAATAGCTGATAGTGAATGTCACTTGTCAGCCGGAGTGAGTACTGTCCACCTTTTTATGCTGTCTCTTGTTTCAGAGTGCTTGGACCATTAATGTGATTGTGAAAAGGGAATCTCTTTCCAGAGAGGATTTGGGGTTGATTATTTAGTTTCTTACTCATCTGAGTAGTTTTTTAAGTTATTTGAAGAAAATGTTAAAGCAGATGTCACTTTGACAAGCATAACACTTGCTATTTAGAAAAATATGAAAATGGGCTATTTGAAGATTATGGGACACGGTACTTACCTGGATTTCTGTCTTTCAGGATCATAAGGATGAAGTAACTTGTGTAACATATAATTGGAATGATTGCTACATTGCTTCTGGATCTCTTAGTGGTGAAATTATTTTACACAGTGTAACCACTAATGTATCTAGTTCTCCTTTTGGTCATGGTAGTAACCAGGTACAGTATGTGTTTATTCAAAACAAAGTTGATAAGATAGATTTTGCATTATTTTAAATATGACAATGAATTTAAGTTTTTAAATGTTTTAAATTTCTATTTAGCTTGCTTGAAAAACTTCTTGCTAATTTTTAATGGTGCTGGGCAAAACGTTGAAAATAAGCTAATACACTTTAGATTAGGGTGCTTACTTGATTTCGATTTTATAATTGAGTTGCATCCTCCTAGTATTTGTATTTAACAAAATGCAACCAGTTAAGCCTAAAATAGGGATATTAATCTTTCTGTGGCATTTCTGTCATAGAAGTGTTGCATACTTCAAACTATGTCAGCTACAAGATGCATATTTAAGTTAATAAATACCATTGGGTGGACCTGAGGTAAGGCAGAAGATAATAAAGTGGTATGTTTTTGGATTTTTTTCAGTATATGATATCGGCTTATTCATATATTTCAGATTAATACAGGAGTGGGGAATCTTAAAAAGAAAAATTATTCAAATATTTTCCTTTGTCAGAACTTTGCCTGTACAAATTACTTTTAAAGAATGAAAAATCTCCTAAGAAATCTGATTCATGGCTTACTTTTAATGAGATTGTCTACAGAAATTTCCAGTAAGGTGCATCTTCTTTTAATCCTTTTTCTTCCAATCACTTTGGCCCTATTATCAGATAAAGTATGGAAATTCTTTACTGTTAAAAAGCAATTTTTAAAATTATTTGAATAATATTTAGTGTTTAAGAAAAATTTAATGGGTAGTAAGTGAATAGGAAAAAGCCCTGTTTTAAGTTTTATGTGTTAGGAAAGAAGGAGATATGCATATAAATGCTATTATGAGTAATTGGTATAAAAAGCTTACAGTGATTCAGAACAGTGGAGAGAAAACATTCAGAATAAAAAAAGGAAAATGGAGGGAGGATTTCAGCTGAGTTAAAGCTTACTTGACTTCTTTGTTTTGATTATGAAAATACAAACTGGACTGTTTGCCTTTTATTTGATGCTAATTTATATAAGGTTAGCTTTCAATGTGTTAACATTATAGTTAGAACCATGGCTTGTTTCTTTGTGTCTTCAATGTGTTGCCCTACATGCAAAACATGTGGAATAAGTGTATGGATGTGTAAATATACCTAGAGATGACAAAAGATTTTACTTGGCTAATATAGAACTTTTGGAGGATTGTTTTATATGGAGGAAATAACAGATAAAATCAAGGAGAAAGGAAAGTACATCAATTTTATGTTGGATCAGTGTGAGAGAAGATTGGAAGGGTAAGTATGATAAAGACTTACTGAAAGACTTTGCAGGCCAGACCTAGTACTCGGCCTCTGTTTTGGAGGACGCTTAGGAGCACTGATCAGACTTATTAACTGAATGTCAAACTTGAGCTTGTGGCCCTGCTGCCTCATCCTTCTAGGTAGCTGGGATCACAAGTGTGTACCACCATGCCCCCACACCCGACAGCGGTTCTTCTCATCATTCTTTTCTATTATGTTTCCTTTCTGTGTGTGTCCTTTTGAAGAATCTTGTCTGTCCCAAGTTTTGAAGGTACTATCTGCTGTGGTTTTAATGTGTTCTTCAAGATTGATGTGTTGGATTATATCAGGTCTGTGGACCAATTTAGGAAGAACTATCTTAACAATATTGCTTCTTCAAATCCTTGAGTCTGAGGTATAATTTTTTTATAAACCTTTAATTTTTTTCAGCATTGTTTTGTTTTGCTGTAGAAATCTTTTGGTGGATTTATTACCTGGTATTGGATTTTTTGATAGTGTATTATAAACTGTATTCCTTCCTGTTAAATTTTATGTTCCACTATTCTGTGACTTGGTATACAGAAATGCAGTTTGTATTGAATATATCACCCTTTTGCCTAGGAATCCTGCTAAATTCAGTTGCTAGTTTTGTAGATTTTTGTGGGGTTTTTTTGCATTTTGCAATTTATGCGCTACCATGTCATCTGTAAATAATAATCATTTTTTTAACTTTCCACTCTTTATACATTCTATTTTTCTTTATTGCATTGACTAGGATCGCCAGTGCAGTGTTGAATAGATGTGGTGATAGTGAGTGTCTTTGTTTTGATCCCAACCAGGAAGAAGCATTCACATTTCAATACCAAGCATGATAGTAATTGTAAGTTTTTTTGTAGGTTTATTTTTTTAATCTTACTGAATTAATGTATGTTATTCTTGGCTTACATGGGTCAAATTTACTATTTATGTTGGAAATTTTGAATTATTTGGCTCCAGGAATTCATAATGTTTTATTTCTGTAGTCTGTGCATATCATAGGTAGAACTTTTTTTACTTTCCTGCTTTTATTCTGCTTATTCTCACCCTTTGGAATGTATCAAGACAGACACTTTAAGTGTTATTTCTTGTTACTTTTTATTACCTTTTAAATACTTAAATTATAGGAAGTATAAATATCACTTTTCTCATTGGTTCATATAATTTAGCACCTTACTGAGTGCTGATTATGTTGGGAGCACTGGTTTAAATGCTCTGTGTATGGCTTTGAGTGAGACAGTTTATATTTTAGTAATAACGGTAAGCAAGTAAGTAAACATTTAAACCAAAGATGTGTTAGGAAAGTAGTAAGCTGCAGGGGTCCAAGGGAACATAAAAGGGGGTGCACCTGAGCCATTTGAGAGGAAGTCAGGAGAAACATTTTAGAGGAAATCATGTCTAGATGGGAGCCTGAGAAAAACTCCAGGTCGCTGAGGTGGAGAAAGGAACAGGGTACAGGTAGTGAGAGGATTTGGAAAACATTCTACAGAAATTAGCATCTGCATAGACTACTCACTACTGTTTATTGTGTTTCAAGCACTGTGATCATTGATTTATATTACATTCTGTCCTTCAGTCTTCGCTACTAGTTTGTGGAGTGTGTGTTAATTCCATTTTTTACAATTGAGAAAATGGGATTCCAAGACTTTCAGACCCCATACCTCTAAATTAATTGTTTTGAAGATCAGATCTTCTAGAGTAGTAGCACAGCTTTCTTTTGGATCTCTCTAGCTCAGGAATAGCTGTGTAAGAATGTGTAAGTATTTGAGGATCCAAAGCTTCTGAAACTTTATACTGTTCTCTTGTGATCTTGTTTAAGGGTCCAAAATTTACGTGTATCTCTTTCACAACATAAAAGACATTTTAAAAAATTCTAGGTAATAGTTTGTTATACTGTTGATTTTAAAAGAATTTTCATTGATTATTTCACACAGGAGAACTGAATCAAATTTATCTTTCAGTTTAGAAAACAGTAATGCTTAAAGCTTATCTCTTGTCCAAGGTTAGATAAGCCAGAACTAGAGATTTTCCTGTGCGTCCTGCCTCCTGCTTGGGCAGTCTGCACCTCTGTAGGATCTTTGGGTACAGATTTTCATGGAAGGTATCACATTTCTTTGGTGTGCCCTAGGGTAAAGCACTTAGCTAGCTGGGTGAGCTTGAGCAGGTCATTTAACTCTCAACCTCCCTTTCCTCATCTGTCCAGTGAGAAAGATAATACGCTTTTGACAGTTTTTTTTAATGGCTAAAGGAGAGACAGAAATTGATCACAGTATGAATATATAGTAAGAAGTCAGTGGGTATTATGAGCTTTCAGTGAATGATTGTATCAATCCATTGAAACAGCCTTGTGCTTTGCTTTTCCACACTGATTTGAACATCTTTAGGTTTCATGCATTCCCTCCAAACACATACTAATTTACCAGTTGTAACTTGGCTCGGTAATCATTTCATGTTTTAGACTGATTTGAGAGCATTTAAGATGTATTCATTTTCCTTGGATACACTGTTAAAACAGAGTACATGGGCTAGGAAGTAGGAATTGGCTCCCTTAAATGTGAGTGAGGATGCGGTCTCAGTTTTCCTTTGAGGAAAGTTGTAGGTTTTATGATTCTGTATACTAAAGCTTTCCTTTTACATGAATGAAATATTTGAAATATTTTAAAAATTGTTTTCTTTTCTAAAAACAGTTTAATTACACCTTATTTATTGTTGACCAAAAGCATAGAGTTGTTGCTTGATCTTTCATTTGAAAAAAATACTAACACTTTTCCAAATTTATTTAAGATTTCAATACATTAAGATTACATTAAGATTTCAAATACAATAATTTCTTAAATTTAAACAGTGTTTGTGAAAATCTCAAGTCTATCAAAAGTTGACATTTTGAATTTAGGTATACTGTTTTTTAGCCTAATTTCTGTGTTGGGTTATTGAAAAAATAGTAGTTAGAACACAACTGTGATTAAATTGAAAATTTTCTTATTTTTGTTTTTGTGATTTGAGATTCTTAACGATCAAGTTGACTTCTTAGTGAAAATGGCAAATCCTTGGAGTCTCAATGAATCTGCATCGGACTGAATTTCATATCAGAAATGAGATTGCCTAAATGTATTTAGAATCTTACTTTGAAATGCCTGAGCTGAGTTGAAGCTATTAGTTTGGTGTGGTTCACAGTGTCTTTCTGCAAGTGAAAAAGAGCCTCACTGCTTCTTCAGAGCTGCCCGGCTGACAGGCTTTATTAGGTTATAATTGCATGTCAGTGTCTGGAAAGTTCCTCAGCTTAGGGCCTCACAGAGATTAACCTGTATTGCCTTTCTCAAACTACAGCCTTTATCAAAGCAGTTAAAAGTGCAGTCCAATTGTATTGATTCCTTAGGTTAAAAAAATGAACTTTAGATATAGCCAGTGAGTTTCTGTGAGATTTATTGTATAACATAAAGTATGCATTAAATCCACTTACTTTTATTAAGTGAAAATTTTGATGTTTTATGTATGTATTTTGTGTTACTAAGCCCACTTGAGAGATCTGATAAATGTAATTATTAATTACATTTTTTAAAGAATTATTTTATCAGGAATGAGCAGCATTGAGGATTTAGCTCAGCGGTAGAGTACTTGCCTAGCATGTGCAAGGTCCTGGGTTCAATTCTAGGACCACAAATAAAAAAAGAATGAATCTAATTCTAATTTGGTTTATTTGGTTGATTG